AAGCTTTCACACAATTCATATATCTCATCTGTCACTGCCTGGAACTCATCTCATTGTTCCTCCCTACACCCTCCCCCATTTTCTCTCCTCATTCACCTTTTATCCCTATTTCATACCAAATTTAATCCATTACGTGTCAGCCGTCACCTGGCTGTGTCTCCCATCTGTGACTTATGAAGACCTCAGCCCACACTTGTCTGACTTAAACCTCCACATCGCCACATAAGAACTATACTGTGCTTTACAGTTGATGACTCAAGGAACAGAAAATTACCAAATTAGAGTCAGCTGTTATTTCACAGACAACAAAGGTCAGTCTCTGACTCACTGTCTTCTACTCTGTAATCAGCAAAAAAAAACTAGAAGATTCACCGGAGAAAACAGATCTTCAGGTGATTCAACAAAGGGTGCGTTGATTCACCTGCCAGCAGCTGTTGAGGAGCTGCCTGCACAGGAGGGGGAACGGTGATTATTAAAGGGCCGGGAGATGACCTCCCCTCCCCAGGTTAGTGGTCATACTCCACAGGAGCCTAAATACAGGAAAAGGCCTGCAGGGTCAGATGCTGATGTTGAGAAAATACAGAACCCTCTAATCTGGTGATAATTAACACAAAGGCACAGTGAGGTGGACGTGGGTGGATGTCGTTGGGTCAGAAGTAAACCCTGAGTCTTCTTTAAAGGGTTTTGCTTCATCAAAATGATTGATAGAGCAGACAGAGACATTTTAGTAGTTTATATCCAAACTCATGGGGGGGGGAGGGGGTCTAACAGTCCTATCAATTCTCTAGTATCGATTTAAAGCCCTGCAAATACCACTACTAAGCTGGAATGTCAACTTCAGTACAGCACACACTCAGAGAAAACTGGATACAAGTCCATAAAGTCTCAGACAACAAGGCTGTTCTATGTATACTTCCGAGTCCATTAACACGAGAAAAAAAAAGTATTCAGTTGAGATTCTTTCAGACTGCACCTGTTTTTAACCTTGTTGCCAACACGTCAGGGAAAAAGTGGTGGCTTGTTGAAAACAGATGCAGAAGGTGAAATAAAGCGGATCAGCACACATTCTAATCATTAACCATCCCTCACATTACCTTGCCAAGAATTTGTGGCAGTTTGAATCCCTCGCCCCTTTATCTCCCTTAGTGCTTAATTCCTTTTGGGAGTGCATGTGGGGGTGGGTAGGGTCTTGAGTTTCTATTCAAATATTTTATCAGCTCCCAGATGTCTGACATGGAATTTGAGTAAATCTGTGCCATGATCACAGCAGACTCCTCTGACGGTCTTCTGAAACGCCTTATCAATCTCCTCAAACCCCAGACAAATCAAGTTCCCAGCGATTTCTCAGCGATTCCCTCTGAGGATACAAAGCCGTGGTATCTCGCCGAAGTGCTGAACCATGACATTGCAGGGAGCAGCTGTGGTCGAGTGGCCATTAAAGGATGAAGAAGGAGATCAAATTGACATTGAGCAGTGCGGTGACCTTGTAACACTGGCCCGGCCCTAATCCCCCTTCTTTACCAGTTTACACAGCTCAGGTGACTCCACCAGTATTGATAACATCTGAAACATTAAGCCATGATGAACGGCAATATCTTCTTTTAGTGCCATTTCTAAGGTACAATATGAACCACAGATGTCTTTATTCTTCTAGGTAAAATATCTGAATGTTAAAGACCAGAAAAACATGTTCAGCATTCCAGAGCGCTACAAACATAAACCTTGTGTTTATCTAGTTAAGACACCTGTTATTAGTAAAGGATTGCTAAAACAAAAACTCAAACATATCTTTTAAAAAGAAACAAGCTCTATATGACTTGATCAACATTTATGGTTGATAAATCTCAGGGCTTTGCCTTTGTGTCCAGAAAGTCAGCTTAGTCTTAGTTGGAAGCATCTGACTTTTCCTTTCTTTTCTGAGGGGATTCCCTTTCTGTTAAAACTCTATTAATAAAAGTCTGCTGTCAGCCGTGATGTGTAATTAATTTTGGGCAGGAGGTGCCTGCCAGTGATGTGCTGCAGCCTCATGACAAGCTCCTCAATCAAGTCCATCACCTGTTGGACTCATGCTATGCTTGTTTTCCCAAAAGTAACCCGAGACCAGACACTTATCCTCAGCACACATGCGCTCCAATGACAGCACCAAGGGAGAAAAGAAAAGTATTCTTTAGCCTGGTTACGATGATCTAATATTTTAAGAATTTGACTCCAGTGTGAAATTGAAGCAGATATGAGTAATTTCCTAAAAACATATGTGATGTGTTCAGAACATGAATAAGTACAAGTGAAGAACCCGACAGTTTCTGTAGCCGCATTACATACCATAGTTTGAGTGTCATCGGATTCAAAAAGATTAAGGTAGCTTTAGCTAAACAAACAGGAGATTGGTTATGTTTCTACCTCAGTGCTTCTCAAACGCCTCACTCCAAAGTCCAGAAATATTTGGTCTCTATTTATTTACAGTATGGCTAACAATAAACTGCAGAGGGACAGAGGATAGGAGTATTAACCTACGCTGTACTTTGATGTGACACTACAACAATTATTTATCACTGAAACACTGAAAAAAAACATATACTAATATTCAAGCAAACATTTGTAATGGCTTTTTTTAACCTATAGGTGGCCCACTTAACCCTATGGAAAAATCCCTTCATACCAACAGAGGGCACCCAAGTATCCTTGTGGTACACATACCACAGTTTGTTTCATCTCAAACTTTACTTACAGGTACAATTATCAGTTTCATTTAACTTAAGAAACGAACACAGTCCACGTCACTCTGCATCAAATGGTTTGAACTACTGCCATCTAGTGGGTCTATTTTCTACTTTTTACTATTGTATGTGCATACTGAGGGCCGCTTATCATTTTTAATAGAAGGGGGCTAATAGAGAGGGAGGGTAGCATNNTGAACACAGTCCTTTATATGTCCTATGACTGTGACAATATAAACAACTTAACTTAATTCATATAGTAATACATTCAAATCTCTGTACCTGCAGAAAAATGGGATTTGGACCAATTACCCATTGAAACCCATTATTTCTCATCAGCTTTTCACTAATCAGCACCTTCAAGGATAACAGAACATACAAGAACATAAACAAGTTTGCTGGGTAAACTCTACCCTTTCACACAAATCCACAGAAACACACTCACCCACCAGCACACACACACACAAACTCACTTGTTTCCATGACATCAAGTGTGACGCGTGCGTAGAGGAAAGCAACCCGGCACACAGTATGGAGTATGGAAACTCTTACTACTGAGACAACAGGGCAAAGCATTGTTTTTACAGGTAGAACCAGTGAACCACAGTGTTACAGGAAATGAGGTCAGATAGATAAAATCCCACTGTTTAAGAGTTCAAAACTGGAGTAGCCCCTTTTTGGGACTGACTATCAGAAGTCATTTTAAATTACTACAAGAGAAGCGAAAAACTTTAAAGGACTGTTTAAATGTGGTATTAATTAACTCAGGGTGCAATTCACATGGGTTAAAGGTTTGCCCCATACTGGAGTTTTGACATTTTTCACCTAATTATTCAGCAGGGACTAAGGGACATAGACAGGAAGTGTTTCTACATCCATTCCCAGATTTTCACAATTCCACATTCTTCTTATTCCCACTGCTACGGCTGTCTGTTTCTTAGCCTGTGGCGACAACAGCACGAGCATCAGCAGCTATCAAAGCTGGGGCAACATCATGTTGTTGTGAAGCAGCTCAGACTCTAAACTCAAGTGGATAATGCTTATGTTAAAAGGTAGAGGAGAAAAACATAGGATCAGTGTTCCTCAGAAAGAACTCTACCTCCTGTTTGTGTTTTCCTCATACTTCCTTTCATTAGTAAAATACTCCATATGTCCCTGGTTGGAAATACTTATCTCTGAATAACAGACCCTGTAGGTGACGTGAATGCAATTTAAAGAATGCAGACCTGCCGTTTGAAGAACAAATGAAGTGGGGCGTCAGCAGGGGCAGCTTAGTTCAGCCTTGCCTGAGGGAAATACAACTGTAAATTAATTAGTGGTGTGTACTGGCAAGAATCTGACGATACGTTACATATCACAATACAGGGGCATCAATACAATATATTGCAATATACTGCAATACTATAGGTGAAATACTGTGATATTTCAGTGTATCAATTTATTCTTACTCCACTTAAATAAAACCTGTTTGAAATATGAAGGACAACGAACTAAAACAAAATATGTGAGTATGTAATATGAGTTACAGTTACAGTACAACAATGTTAAAAGTGTAAAGCTTCACAAAACACAGGGTGTTGCGCTACAATTAGCCAGCCGTGAATTTAGCCATTTTTTTAATATAAAGTGGACCATTAGAGACATTAATCAATTATCATCATTATCATTAAAAAAAGATCCACTGAACCTCAGGAAATGCTTAAAGCAAGCAATGACCAGCAGCTTGGATAAAGGGTTCCTACTGAGGGAATCATCAAAGTGTAAAAGTGTCTTAAGATCATCTGGTTGTAAGGCACCCACCTCAGTAATGCTACTACAGCCTGGGCAGTGTGCCGATGTCGGCTAAATGTACTCTAAGCCAAACTGTAATGTTCTAGGGGCAGCACACCGGAATCATCTTCTTCAATGTTGTCTTAAGTCCACCTCGTTAATTACACACACTCTAAACAACTAAATTGTCGAGACAAATGTTTTACTGCAAATGGAATTCCTCACTGAAGCATCCGACTTCATACAATGCCAGAGATAGAAAGTCACTTCTTTTCTCTCTGTGTGTAAGACAGAAAACATTCAGACGAAGCTGGTGTCCAGAGTCTATGTAAACACATACTGTAGAATTTGAACTTCCACTTCAGTGAAAGCCAGGCATGCCGCCAGTTGCTCAGCAAATGGGATGGATTTTATTACAGGACAGAAAGGAAGCGTGAGCATGTAAAATTAAAAACACAAAGAAACACGAACAGAGTGAAACAAAAACTATGTGCTGTTGTTTTTTCCAGTAACCTTCCTGATGTATGTTATGTCAGAGCAGCAGTTATAGAGGATCTGGGATGCGGCGATGAAGGACATGTCTTTGGGGACCAGCAGACAGTGGAAGACAACATATTTCATTCAACTGTGGACACAGCTGCTTTTTGGTTCTGTGGGGATTCACTGGGCCGTGTTGCCACAGTTTCTTTGTGTTCTGTTTCCTTATTTGGCGCTTTCAGATGATGCCAGTTTATAACCACCTTAAAGAAATTAGATTCAGTGTGTTTTTGTTTGCCCAGCAAGGTTTTTGAGCCTAGTCCACAGCACGACCCGAGAGACAAAGAGACAAATCAAAGAATCACAAAAGTTGGTGCAAAACTGCTGTTTAAATCTTACATTTTTTTCCCCTAACATTTTCCAAAACAATCTCATTTTTGGGGTTTGGACATGCTCAGAAACACAAACATTTGAAAATTTCCATCATTGTCACCCGTTTCTGGATTTTATTGTACAGTTGTCTCATGCTTTATCATCAATTCTAAATCTGTATTGAATTATGATTTATGAAATGTATAAATTCATTAAAAAATATTTAATTAAAAACAAAACTCAGAGTATTTTCTACATCGAAAGCCTGATAAAGCCTCTTGGATGAGATTGGAAACGCCCTCAAATAATCGGCTCTATTGTTAAGAGCACAGTTGCCTGTTTTACACATCTTGTCCACAAGGCGGCTTCGTGAGCACAAGCCTCTATAAGTTAACTCTGTTTGCACTAATTTAATGGAAAAGTCCGATGCTTCATGAAGCTTAACCTCGCCACCACTGAAAATTAATCATTTGTCCTCTAACACAATAAAATACTTAGTGCCCATGATATACTTAAACATACACAACTGTAAGTACAACAGGTTTACACCGAAGCCTCACCTTTCTTCGCTGACATCCTAGCCTCTACAATGTAATGTCCGGTAAGTGCCACGCCCACATGCCTAAAACAAAAAAGGGGACCAAACAACCGGTATATTATTATTTTTGTTACAATAGACCTTAAAGTATCTTTTTTTCTGTAATAATTCAGGTATTTTTTAACGTTTTTAACAGTGTCCACTAACCACAAAAATAACTTAAATCAACGTAAACATGCCTGTCACATTCATCGTCCCACCCCCCAAACGGCCAATGCTAAAGCTACTGTTGCTAACGGTACATCGCAAAACCGTTATTGTTTTTTATACTTTGAAGGGGATATCTGGGTGTGGGTGTCAGGTGAATTCACCACTCACCTACTGACATGTCGCTCCTGGACAAACTCAATCTACCTCTGTGGTCCGGTAGAAAACGGGCTAAAGCCAGCCCATAGCGAAGGCTCATTGGTCTAATTTGCAAATCCGGCTAATCGAGATGCTATCACACAGCGGGGTCCTCTCTCTCTGCTTCTTGTTCGTGCTCTTGTTTGCTCGTACTTTAAGTGGAATCCACCGCAACCTTGAAAGGGGTTAGATGTAGAAAACGAATGGTTTAATGACACGTCTTATTTACCAGAGGTGTTAACGGTTGTTTGTCTCTGTATGTGGCCCAGAGATGGACTGGCGAACGTTGCCCGTTGACTGCTGGGATTGGGTCCAACTCACCACATGGCCCTGAGGATGATTAAGCAGTGAAGAACGAATCAGTTAAAAGTCAGGATGTAAACACTAAATGTGGTCTTTGTACTTGTGCTGACCTTTTCTGCACATTGTTTCCTGCTTCCTTCCTCCAAAAGAAGAATATCTGAGTTGTCTTTCCTGAGGACCCACAATGAACCCTCCACAGAAGGCGTCTATATTTTCTGCCTTATTTCAGGTAGCATGTGAAGTGCGGGGTACACCAGTTAAAAAATTACATCAGCTGGTTTTTATGAATAGTACCATTTAAAAGGAATCGGTTTCGGGGCAGGCCTAATGATGCCACAGCGGTGGCGTCATACTGGGAGAAGGAAAGAGTTAGCATTCATTCCAGGCACTGGAGCATTACTTTCAGGCTAGCAGGCTGGATTATGGCAACTTTCCACCTCACATACGTCACCCCTGACTCCAACCATCAACTCTGTCCAGTCACTGCATTAAAAAGGGAAGCTTCAATCAAGCTGGTCATTTTACACATCGTGCTCTCAGTAGAGAAAGTGGCAGCCATTCTGTTTAATTGTTATGATACCTTTAATGCCTTCCTAAAATAATTCCTCAGGCTCCTGATGTGCTGCATCATCGGTCGAAAAGCTGACTGTCTTCCAACTATTAAGGATGTAAACAATAGAAAAACTGGAGGCTGGAATTGTTTCAACAGTCAGTGCATTGTTTTCCATGTCTTCCATAAATGTGCTGAGATTCACGACTGCCCTTTTTGATCTATATAATAATATATAACAAATATTGTGACCTAAATGGACAAGTTGGACATACTTCTTTTCTTTAATCTGTGTTTGGTTTGCAATACCATCTGAACGGAAGTGATTGTGGCAGCAGTGAGTCTCTGTATCCTGCATCTGAACACACTGACCCTGGGGGCTACACTGGCTGAAGGCCAGTCATGACAAGAACTGTTTGTTGAAGGCAGGGAGTTCATGAGTAATGTGTCAATTTATTTTTATTTTCCTGATAAGTAAAAGAAGCTAATCTGAAAATCAGTTGTTGGATCAGGTGAAATACACTTTTACTGCCTGATTTCTGAGATAAATGTGTGTAAAAACACACTATCAAATTGTGTGCAACACATCAGAGAAGACAACACTACAGAGGTGGCTTTATACCCAGCTGTATTTATATCTTTAGTGATGCTAAAACTGAAAAGCAGCGATTATTGGCTGGGGCCCAAAGTGTAGAATAGTGTGTCTTTAGTAGTAGTGGTCGCAGTGCGCTGGGTTTATGCTGCCATCTAGTGGTATATATCAAGGCGGCAACTACCGCCTGCCAATGTCACGGCCCGGTAGTAGCTCATTTTCTGCTCTTATAATTTAGATTAAATGTTGAGTTTGTGGAGGAAACGTAAAAATTAGGCCATAAAAATGCTTTAAATGAATCGAATCACATTTACTAAAGAAGGTTTTTTTACAAACAATAGTGTTGTGGCTCAGTTTAATTCTTTATTCTTTGTTTGAGAAATGTACTTGTCTCTATGTAGTATAATTATACTGTCTCTAATAAGGAAATATAAAATTAAAATAAAAACTTAAATAACCGAAAAAAACAAACAAAAAAGCAAAAACAAAATCATGAACCCTTGGATAAATGTGTCCTAATTACAGACTATAAGCATCTAAATAAAGACGAATAATGACTTGGGTTCTTTTTAATATCTGTTTTATTGACTTTTATTTTTGTATAAAAAAACCTTTGTGTCCACTTTAGGCAAGAGTTAGCATGAGTAGCTTTCACAGCCTTTCAGAGCTGTTATCAGTCTCTCCTACAGTCATACTCAGCATTCACACAGAGGAACACACAATCACATGGTGCTCTTAAGTTAATGCAGTGGTTACAAACCTAAAAGTCTATTTGTAGCAAGCCACGAACAAAGATGCAATAATAGACAACTTACAATCACCGTCTACTTCAAAGATGTTTCTGCTGCAAGACAAAAGTCACATGAACACAAGGCGCCACAATAAATCTACAGCCTCCATGTTGTTGTTTGGCTTTTGAAAGTGATGGATGTAAGCGTCATGTACCGATGTTAGGCTTGGAACCACTGCTTCGGTGCAACTCTTAAGCAGGTTCATATTAAGACAAGTTTTTTTGTTACTGTTGTTGTTTGTTTTTTTTTAAAAAAGGCAAAGAAGAACGTCAGACCTCTCAAACACAGCAGCATGTCCTTTGTTTCACCACGAGCCACAGCTTTGATTTAAGGCCAAAAAACAAAGGACGCGTTTGGTGTAAGAGTTGGCACACACACACACACACAAGCGTACAGATCAGTTTCAGTCACACGCAGCTTCAAAACACGATTGCATTCACATACTGGATGACGACACAGCTCATCCCACAATCAGCACGTTAAGGATTAGCAGTGCAGTAGCTGTAACGTCCCACCAGAGGGCCCTTCATCACTTCATCTAGCATCACATCATGTCATAAACTGTAACTGCTCCTGCCATCATTACACACAGGACGGTTTTCTTCAACACTTAATTCATTCCTCACTACATATTTATTGTCATTCTTCGCACAAATCTCAGGTTAAAGCAGATTCTCGCGTTTCCTCTGGACTTGACGAGCAGCTACTGTATGTGACGTTGTGACCGCGTAGCTTTGCGAAGGAAAATGTTTTCCTTTATTCACTAAAAAACAAAAACAGCCACGTCATCTAACACACAGAACACACACGTTACATAAAGAAATAATAATAATAATAATAATAATAATAATAATAATAATATCATAGGCATCATTACTACAAACTATTATTTACTTTGTTTTTGTAGTTGTGGTTTTGTGGGGTTTTTTTTTTTCAATGGATTCTCTGCATCTGCACAAACAGCCCGAGGTGAGCAGGAGCAACAGGCGAGCGCTAGCGCCGCTCCACCTTCATTTCTCTGCAGCGGGGCAGCAACGAGCAGCGCCCTCACATCACTATGTGCATACATATGTTTATGTAAAAAAAAAAAAGCAGCGACCTCGGCTCCATCAGACACGTTGCAGATGCATATACAGTACACTAAAATACAAGTATTTCCAGGATTATTAGGTCGATCTGTCAGCGGAGGACACCGTCAGACGCCCTTCATTTGACTTGGCTACGGCACTGCAGACTGCAGAGGAAACTGAACCAGTGAGAGTCAAAGGTCACCAGCTTCCTGTGTGCTGCTAAACAATCCATGTTGTTAGTGTTGATACATAGCTTCGTATGCCGGCAAACAAAAAGGCTTACTTCAGCATTCACACGTTTCTGTGTGAAATAAACAAAACAAACAAAGCACGACTCGTACTTTTTCATCAACAAATTACTACAAATACTAGTGTTTTTTTTTTTTATGTTTCTCCTTTAAGGCCACATATATCAACGCCCAACAGTTTCAATGTTGCTCTGTTCCGACTTCGTCTTCATCACTTCTGCAGGGAGACATCACTATGTGCTTTCAGCATCTCCCCCGCTAATCGTGAATCCGCCGTATAGCCTAGCCACAGTCACCACCAGCGATCGTAACCTGTAATCATTCTTGATGATAGCAGTAACAAATGTGAAATATCTAATTGATTCATCTTTGATGAAGCTGTTGTGCAAAATATCTGCAGAGAAGCTAGAGTTAAGCTTCTGGAGGCAGTGGCTCTGCTTTGCCCTCAGTGCAGGACTCCTCCTGGCTCTGCCCGTCAAGGAGGCCGTGCTGACAACCGCTAGAACTCTCCTCTTCTACAGCTGCTGCTGCTGCTGCTGCTGCTGCTGCTGCTGCACGAGCCTCTGAGCTCAGTACCACACTGCCCAACGGTTCAGCTAAAATTAGTTTTTCCGGCCGATTATCCTTTGACTCCTCCTCACTGTTCTCTCTCTCCTTCACACACTCGGTGTTTTCTTCGGTTTGTTCAGGCACCGTGTGCTCCTCCTGTTTGTCCTCTGTTCTAGGCGACGTCACGAAGGCGGTGGGTTCTATCGGACTGAGCTGATAGTAGAGCAGAGAACTGGAGTCTCTGAGGAGGTCCGAGGGGCTCTCCTCCTGGTTGTCACTGATGCACAAAACTGTGGCTCCCGTGGGGAAGGGCCCCTGCAGGAGAACCTCCTCCATCCCGGGCACCTGCGCCTGCCCCGGCAGCTCACCTCCCAAAGTGGCAGGCAGGAGGCAGAGAGGCTGCTCCGTCAACCCACCGTTAGCCAGCTCCTGCTGCACTGCTTCACCCTCAGCCTCCTCCCTCTCCCTCCTCTCCTGCTCCTCGGCGCTCTGCAGGTGCAGCACGGCCGTCTCGTTCTCTCTCTCTAAAATGTCCTCCTCTGCCAGGAGGTGTTGAACCTCCATTGCCGTCTGCACCCCATTCTCCACCAGCTCTGAGTCCAGGGCAGCGACAGTGGACAGGTCCGGAGAAGTACTGCAAGTGGAACTAGGGGAGGGTATGGGCTCGGCCTTGACGTACTGCTCCCCGCTGCCCTGGAGGAGCATTCTCCTCTTCTCCAGGTCCAGCTTCATGATGGTGTGCAGGTAGTGAGTTCTGACACGGAGTGGGTTAAACTCAATCCGACCTGCCATGTTGCCACATCCGTCCCTGGAGCAGCCACACGGAAAGGACATCCGATCCACCTGGGGGAGGAAGACGAGGCAACAGCTACGTTATTTGAACAAAGACGTTAGAACCTGCAGAGCGAGTCGACAACTGCAGTAATTATGTAGTTACTGTCTCATTAAAGGAGATGAACGGGCAGACTGAGTCATGGGACACCTGCAGGGCAGTTTCCTGTTGTGGAATTGACCAAAAGAGGGCAGTAATAAAAACAGACCCAGTGTGACCTTTTCAGTCTGCAGCTTGAACTCTGAATTTGTAAATAAGCAGCAGCTGCTTCGGGACACATGACGTGGAGAATGTAAAGTTGTACACGGTGGTACATGAGATGACGGTACACACAAATGTAGTGTCTTGTCTTCTTTGAAAAAGAATCAGAGATCAAATTAACCATAGAATTAGAATTATTTTATCAACTGCTCCCTGATCTGGACTGCAGGCAGGTCAGCCAGGCACACGCACTCTATGCCGATGACGCCGCACTTAAGTCATTTGTTACAATCTATTGAGTCGGTTCCATAGTGTAGCGGTTAGCACGCCTGCCTTGGAAGCAAGCAGCTTTTAGAGAACACATGTACATTAAACTATATTCCGTCTCGTCAGGCTGCACTCCGCCTCGAGCAAACAATTATTACCTGGCACTTGATTCCTGCCTGGCTGCAGCCGCAGTGTCTGGGGTCGCAGTACAGACGACAGTTGCAGCCACATTCCTCCCTGGAGAGGCGGATGGCCCTGAGCTCGGCTTTCTCCCGCGCATCTATGCGAGCGATGCCAGACGCTCGCAGCAGGGCTCGGCGGCGCTTGGTGGGCAGAGGCTGAAGAAAGAAGCAGTCGTCCACTTCCACCCCGTCCACGTCCAGGTCCTCGTCTGACACGTCGTCCAGGGTCAGCAGGTCGGCCTGGGCACACTCCACTGTGCCGTTCCTTGTCATCTGCAAATGATAGCAGAGAATTGGAAACTGTGAATCTTAGAAAATGGTTTCAATTACAATGGATCATAAACTACGTCCTACTAAGACGAAGAATGAAAAAAAAAGGAACACGGAACTCGTCTCTTCAAAAGTTCCCAACATCTGTTAAAGGAGAACCCCAGGGAGAACGAAAGGATTTTGAGTTGTTCTTTAACAGATGTTGGTGACTGAGAATTTATATTACAACCCAGTGTACTCATTTGCATGATCTTACCAGTAGGGGAGTGGGGGGGTTTCCAATTGAATATGGCACGCTGGACATAAGTGTACCACTGCTGTAATGCTTGAATGATAACAAGCCTCCAGTCACTAGGTGGCAGCAACTCATACAGTGGTTTGTACAGATAGAAATATACATGTTATCAGGTTCTCAATA